CTTACATATCATCATAAATTACCACCTTAGTTGAAAATCTCTGAGGAAGAGTAGGGGCAGCATAACATGTCTACCCCATTCTTCCTCTTTTATCAGATTACAAAAATATTTGTAGCAAACTCTTTATTCTCATCATAATGACCTGTAAAATGTGATATGCTTATATTTTTCCCATTCCTCATATATGTGCTTTAAATAAATTAATTTGTAGAAAATAATTGTTTCTCATTGTTTTTCTAAATGTGCGATGTATGTTTCCGAATCCATTTTGCTTTGATTATACATGTGAGATTTTTTTGTGCACAGACGTAAAGGTATAAAAGGGAGAAGGAGACCGCATGAAGGCTGGATGCCCCAGGGGGTGGGAATTTTGAGGGTGGGGAGGTGGGAGTGGGGGGGGTAGATAGAGGTTACATCCACAGAGAAGAAGGAGGAGGGGTGAGGGGATTGGGGGTTCCTGGGTAGGTGGGGGATGGGGTAAGGAGACAACATAGGAAATGTAAATAAAACATCCAATAAAAATTAAAAAAAATAAAATAAAATAAAAAAAGGGAGAAGGAAACAGAACCAAAGTTCAGTTAGGATACCTATTTTCTCAAGAATGAGTAGTTGTCACATGAAGTTTAGTTTAACTACCCAGTGCCACTTTCCTAAAGAAACTGACTCTCCACCTACTAACAGCTATCAAATGACAACAGACCCTTGTCTAAAAGTACGAATGTGGGCCCACATCCTGATATCATGTTGGAATTTTCATGCTAGAACTTGCACAGATTTTGTGCATTTTCCCCACAATTTCTGGGAGTTCACAGGAGTAGCTCCCTTCTGTGTCAGAAAACACAGTTTCCTTGAAGTCATCTGTTGCTTCCTCAAGTAGAGGTAAGAATACCACACCCTTAGTCTGTGCATTTTGCCCAGTTTGATATCTCTATGATAATCACAATACAGTGCAAATTGGGATGCCTCTGCTCAAAGTTGAGAGGTTCTCCAATCTAAAGATATAAAAATATTAAGAGGTGTTTTGTTTTTTTTATAAACTCTGAGTCTATTTATCTGAACACTAGTAGTAGGGTCTCCTTTAGGGTCTATTTTCAGGATGTTTTCCAAATGATGGTGCCAGGTTGGGTTACATCTGTCTTATAAACTTAAATTCAATCCGAAAGGGGTAGATAACTCCCGAATCTTCATGGTCCCATTACCTGTGCATGTGTATTTACAGTCTAGTCATAGTTTTTTTAGCACACTGAGCTCACAGGTTGTTAAAAAATAATCATGTATTTTATCTTCCATTTATATGCATACTTCTATTCACCATGATAAAAGTTATATGATAAGGGAGAAGCTATGAGGTCAGGAAAAGTTTGAGTTCTCCATGTTCTGTGACTAAACTAAGTCTTCATTACCAGGGTTTTTGATCAGCTTATGGAAGTAAACAATAGTATTGACCATAGCCTGTAATATTTATAGGTCTATGGGACCCCACTGGTCAAGAATTCCTAAAGAGGTAACCATATTCCTGGAACATGGCTTTTATTTCTTACCCTGTGGTGTCTTCTATAGGTATTGTTAGCCCAATATTGGGTAAGCCCATTTTTAATACATATATTCAGTATGTACAGGAATATGAACATATTTATATCAAACTCCATTAAACAGTGCATCTATTTTTAATGTCAGTGCCATGGTGTTTACTAATATAGTTTCATAAAAATCAATATATTAGTAAGAGGCCATGTGTATGTGTACAGAATATGTATATAGAAGCTTCTACAATAGCAAGGACATTTCCAGGCAACCTTCATGTAAAGATCTTAGTGTTAATTATCCCTCCTTTCCTCCAATCACATCAAGCAACCTAGTGATAGGTTCTTGTCCCATTATAACTTTTACCTCAAGATGCCACTGTATTCTTTCTCAAATCTACTAAGAGCCCATTCCACTTAGGCACATGCATATGGGTCCTTACTAATATGTTGACAACTACAAAGCTATAATAATAAAGAACAGGGTACTGACATTAAAAATAGATACATTGACCAATGGAATCTGCTGAAATATTTGAATTACCAGTCACAGGAAAGTACTGTAGGGAAATAACTGAGGACTTAAGAGCAACAACATATAATTGTGACCTCATGTGACAAAAAAACCTCTCCATAGGAAAGCATACCTTTGAAGGAAAGAAGGCCATAAATTACAGAGTAAAGTTTAACCTTCTATACATCAAATAAAAGTTTAGTATCTAGAATATACAATGAACTCAAAAGTCTAGAATCAAGAAAACAAACTACTCAAATATTAAATAGAATGTGAAACAAAACAGGTTTTTCTCAAATGATGAAGTATAAATGATAGAGGAACTTATTAAAATTATTCAGTATGACTGGTCATTAGAGAAATACAAATCAAACTATTTGAAATTTCTTCTTAACTCAGTCAGAATGGTTAAAATGAAAATCACAGTTGACTAGAACTTGAAGAAGGGGGGAAATACACACACACACACACACACACACACACACACATTTGTTGGGTGTATAAAGTGGCACACAACTGTAGAAATGGCCTTGAAGCTTCCTCTGGGTAAACCCTACCAATAAAGTTCTCAGTCTAATCGAGTCCAGATAGCTTCTCTGAGCATGGTGCAAAATGAATGGAAGACTCCATTTAGCAGCAGGGGTTCCCCTTCTCTGAGCTTGTTTAGGTAACCTGACCACCCATATCTAATACTTGGGGAAGGTTGAGTGTTCCTTGGTGGCAAACCTACAAGCTCAAATACCTTTTTCTGATGAGAACACACCCAACAAATACCTGGAATTCCTGGAATGGGTCTTCCTACAAATGAGACATTTGCAGTACTTTAAATTCTAGCCAATAATTTTTAATCCACCCTGAGTCCTCCTTCTTACTCTTGGTAAGAAGGAAGATCCTAAAGAAAAGAGCAGACAAACAAGACAACTACAACAACAAAAATCCTAAAAATACATCTACTAAATGATCCAGCTATTCCATACTTGCATATACACATAGTTATCCATGATAATTTCTGCTCTATTCAATAGATCCAGGAAACAGTGACAGTCTTGATTCCCACTACAAATAAATGTATATTAAAACAATGTTCCATTTACACAATTGAACATAACTGATAAGAAAATTGAAATTGTGAAAATTGCAGCTGAATGGATGAGCTGCAACAGTGAATTAGTGGACCTAAGTCAACTGTCACAGATTTTGTGAATGTGGGCTTGGAAACTTCAAATATGTATTCTTTTAAGAATCCTCGATGTAATGTTATGGAAGGTTTCTGGACTGACATGTGCATTTAGTCTTTTCACTTAAAATTTGATGTATGGTATTAGATACAGCCACTTTCCTTGTACTTCCATACATACCATTGTTTTTGTTAAAAAATGATCATACACTGGAAGTATTTGTGGTTTCAAAATAATTTCAGATTGAACACTATAAAATTAAAGGAAAATCCTATAAAGTCATTCAATTGCTGTTTACCATGATATCACCTCATTCACATAGATTAGTCTCTGTGTCAGTCTAGCTGACTAAATGCTTAACTATATGTATTTTATTTGATAGAACATATATTTTGTTAAATTTATGAAAAGTGAAAAGTTCAAATCTTTCAAGCATTTTTTTTTCACTTTTCAAAACAGTAATTCCTCCATCAGCTACAAACTGAGACAAAGTATTTATGGCTTCTATTCTTTCTCTTAAGGAATCCATACAGTCTATTTTGTGTGATTCTTCATTTTTGCTTTTGGCTTTTTATAGGACTACACAGGGTAGCTAATGTTTGCAATTGCTATGCATGCGTATTATGAAGCACATTCTGGCAATTGTCCAAAATAATTCCCTGAGTAGGTATGTGTATGTGAATGTTGTGTATGTATGCATGTATGAATGTATGTGAACATGTATGTATGTGTCATATATGTATGCAGTGTATGGACAAATATGTTTCAGTAGATGGTTGATGTTTGTAGATTAAAACATCTGATTTTTCATGTTCTTTGCTCTATCTACCAATTGTATTCCCATAAGGTTGTGTCTCTCATGGAACATGGAGTTAGGCTGACAGTAAATCATACTAATGCTCTGTATTCTACTTAGCTCTGTATTAAGAAATGTGAATACATCCATATTTTTTCATGGATTCTGGGGATTTTTAACTAACCCCCATGCTTACACAGCAAGAATTCTTCCATCAAAATATAGGTTAAATTCATAGTTATATGTCTATGGTTTCTCTGAAGAGCTAATTTGACCATGATTTAAAACGAAGTGCAGAAGGCTCTACCTTGCTTCACCCACCAAATCAGAATGCCCTTCATAGTTTCACCCATAAGGTATTCACACAGGCTCCTAAAGGAAAATACATAACACATATCATTTATGAATATAAATGGTGTTAACTTTTCTGTTGATTTTAAAAGCAAGTAGTAATTACAAGTTATTAGGAATAAATCCAAACATATTAACATAGGACAGCAACTACTCACAAAGTATCAAATAACATAACCATAATTAGCTTATTGTTGATGAGAAAGACTAAAAAAGCATAATCCTCAAGATAAAATTCATTCAAAGTAACAAAAAGAGGGTTAAAAAGACTTTCTTTCATAGGGTAATAAAATCAACATATGTAAAAAGAAGAAAACTATGTGATAATTTATGTGAGAGAATCATGTGTATTCTATAAACTACATGAAGAATGACCTGGAGACCTGAAAATTGTACCAGATCCTTTATTTGATCATGAGATCCTGAGGTAGGAGCACAAGTATGCAGCATTGTCAGTCCAGTAAATCACAATACTCGTGATGTTTTCTGCAGCACAGTGCAGAGATGTATGACATAATGCCTGTGGTTTCTCCAACAACAACCCAGGTGTATAAAAGGCTTTTGGCAGATGGTGACACTCAGACTCAAGTAACCTACTGCTTGTCTATCTCTGGACACTCTACTCCATTCCTGACAATATGTGTTACTATAGTGGATACTATGGAGGCCTAGGCTGTGGCTATGGCTGTGGCTATGGAGGCCTAGGCTGTGGCTATGGCTTTGGCTATGGATGTGGCTATGGCTCTGGCTATGGCTCTGGCTATGGCTCTGGCTATGGTGGCTATGGTTATGGCTGTTGCCGCCCACTGTGCTGTAGAAGGTACTGGTCCTGTGGTTTCTACTGAGGAGATTCAGCAGCTGCTCACTTTCATTTTCTTCACTTCAGATGTCCCTAAATATCTTCATAAATTTAAATTCTCTGAGGAATAATATATGCAACACAACACATTCACTCTGCTCTTCTTCTCTAATGTGATTTCATAAATATTTGCATCAAAGTTCTTTATTCTCATTATAATGCCTTGCAAAATGTGATCTGCTGGCATTCTTTCCCATGTGTATGTGCTTTAAATAAAGAAATTTGTAGAAAATGATTTATTCTCATTGTTTTACTAAATGTAAGATGTATGTTTCTAAACTTATGTGTTTGATTAGATGTGTAATTTTTGTGGGCATTTGTGATGGCATTAAAGAGACAAGGAATTGGGAACAATGAGTAGAAGGGAAGGAAATTTTCTCTTCAAACTTTCTTCTATTAGACAATTTTAAGATCTTCATATTTCTTCTATGATGATATCACAGTGAATTTTGGAGGGTGGATATTTTTTTGAAATCACATTCTTTAGTTCCCAACTTACATTGGGAGAACTAACACAAATGGATTCTCTAAATTTTTCTCAATCTCTTCAGAAACTTCTACAATGAGTGTCACCATAAACAACCTTGCCCTTCATAGGCTTTCCTTTCCTTCATGTATTCTGTAACACCCATTTCTGTATAATATCCATTTTATTAATAACTATATTGAACAATACATTGTAACTTTGTCTTAAATTTTTTAAAACTCACCTTTAGTCATCTGTAGGTTTCCTTTAAGAATGTTTTTATGAGTATTCTATATCATTCTTTATTTATTTTTTTTCAAATCATAATTTTTACTTATTCACACAGGGGTTATAAACACAAAAAGGCAGGACATGGGGAAGGGGATGACACTGGAGCGTGGGTGTTCAGGGGGAATACAGATATCTTTCAGAAAAGGGTAACGGCTGGGTGAAGGTTCAGGGGATAGGTCACTATGACTCTGCCCATGATTCACTTGTCCTTATCTAAGTTGGTATTATCTGCAAAGGCTACCTATTTACAAGGTCTATGACTACTCAGGCTGGTAAATTTCTACAGAAGCTGCCTGTTTACAATAGCTTATAGCCCTCTGTTTCAATGTTTTTCCACAGAGACCCAAGACTTGGTATTAGTATACATGTATGACAGGCCTATTGCTGATTTTAGGCCTATGGCTGATTTTAGGCCTTCAGTGTATAAGCAGGGATGCCCCTGACATCTCTTCCCTTCTCTAAGTATAGAAGGGTTGTGGCGATTCTAATCTTGTGAAGGTGGGGATAGAGGCCTGACCTCCAGTAATTGAAGGGGACCATGTAATGGCTCTGGTCCCCCTGTTGTTGTCCAGTGAGGGATGAGAGCCATACCCATTCAGCTGTCTTTTTCCTGGAGAGGGGATACTTTTGACATCAACCCCTATGCAGTCAGGCTTGTCCCTCGGGGAACCCAGAGATATTTTTAACTTTTATTTATATTCCCTTGCAGTGCTTAGGCTGCGAGGCCTAAGAATTCAGATTGCCAGTCAGAAGGGGTTCTGGGTGGCCCCTCTCTGCTTGGTCTAGGGGCAGAAGTCCCCTCTTTTAGGTTGAGTGGAGATGGGGTTTGGGAACACCCTGGATAGAGAAACAACCTCATCTTGAGTCTCGTGGTCCTCCATAGCTAACTTATGATAATGTATCTGAATAAGTTTTTCTACCAAGTTATTTATCTGTTGTTACACAAAGTTAGTCAGCCTATTTAAGGCCCAGGGACAAAAAGAAATAAGCAAAAATAACCGAATTAATGGTCGCAAGATGGGAGGAAGTAGGGTTGACAACCATGGAAAGGCTGAAAACCAATTCTTGTACCAGCACTCATCTTTCTCTTTCTCTCTCCGTCTTTTCTCAGGGCCTTCTCTGATCTTTTTCATGTTCTCTTTAACCATCCCTGTCTTGTCTATGTAAAGGCAACATTCTTCTTTAAGACTCACAGGCCACATGAAGCCCATAAAGAAGGAAGACCAAGTGGGGGTGATTCGGTCCTTCTTAGAAGGAGCAACAAAATACTCAAGGGAGCAAATATGGAGACAAAGTGAGGGACAGAAACTGAAGGAGGGGCCGTCTCAAGACCACTCCACCTGAGTATCTATCCCATGTGCAATCACCAAAGGTAGATGCTGATGTGGAAGTCAGGAAGTGCATGCTGATAAGAGCCTGATATGGATATCTCCTCAGAGGTCTTCAAGAGTCTGACATACTCAGAGGCAGATGCTCACAACTAGCCATTGAACTGATCATGGGGTTCTCAATAGAGGAGTTAGAGTGAAGACTGAAGGAGAGCTGAAAGGATTTGTGGCACCATGAGGAGAGCAACAATACCAACCAACCACAGCTCCCAGGGTCTAAATCACCAGCCTGGGAGCACTTAGGGAGGGATCCAGGGCTTCAGTTGAATATGTAAGAGTGGAGGGCCCTGCTGGGCATAGGTGGAAGAAGAGAACCTTGACCTCATGAAGGCTGGATGCCCCAGGGGGTGGGAATTTTGAGGGTGGGGAGGTGGGAGTGTGGGGGGGGTATATAGAGGTTACATCCACAGAGAAGAAGGAGGAGGGGTGAGGGGATTGAGGGTTCCTGGGTGGGTGGGGGATGGGGTAAGGGGACAACATAGGAAATGTAAATAAAACATCCAATAAAAATTTAAAAAAGAAAAAAAAAAGAGTCATACACAGTCAAGAGCTGTACACAGCCTTTTCTATTGTAAAAGAGTAAATCAAGTCCAATAAAGTCCTTTGCTATTTTTGGAGGTCTGAGTATTCTATATCTTAACATCAATTGATTTTCTTTATGTTGTTTATGTTTTAGGTATTTCACATGAATTTTTGTTGTTGACTTCTATTTCTTTGTAAAAAGAGTGTGCATATTACAGAACCTAGTAGATGAGTACATTCAGAGTTTCCTATTTCCTTTCTGATGCTTGAGTTTTTGAAATCGTATTCAATCATTTGTGAGAATAAGCAAAGTATCTTTTAATTGTGTATTCTGTTTCTTATTAGTTCTTAGATAATCCAAGACAATGCATTTGAATACATTTCATATGTTTTTCCCTTCTCCTTCAGACTCACCTGCTTTACCCAAATATACTTTATGTCTTCTTAATTTTTCTTTAAAATTGTCAAGTCCAATTAAGATACCTATATACTCTAGGATAGGGAGCCATTATCTGATGCTTAGCTGCCTTAAACAGGGCCACACCCACAAACAAACTGACTCTCTATCTTTTAAAAGCTATCAAATGGCAACAGCCACTTATCTAAAAGTAGGAATATGGGCCCACCTCCTGATATCATGTTGGGATTTTTCTGCCTTGAGCTTGCACAGATTTTGTGCATTTTTCCCACAGTCTCTGTGAGTTCATAGAAGGAGCTCCCTGCTGTGTCTGGAAAACACGATTTTCTTGTAGTTATCTGTTGTTTCCTCAAGTAAAGCTGAAAATAACCAGTCTTTTTCTGTGCATTTTGTCTAGTTTGCGATCTCTGCGATAATCAATACATTCCAAAAAGGCATGCCTCTGCTCAAAGATGAGAGGTTCTCTAATCTAAGAGCATAACAATGTCCTTAAAAGTTTTTAAAAACCTGGTCTATTCATCAGAATACTAGTAGTATGACCTCCCTTAAGGACTATTTGCAGTTTTTGTCCAAATAATGGCTCAATGCTTAATCGTAACTGTCTTGTGATCTTAAATCCAATCAGAAAGGGTAGATTGCTCCTAAACTGCCTGTGTTCCTAATAGAGTTCTGTACATATATTAACACTTCCAACATCTCTTTAGCTCACAGAGTTCATAGGAAGGATATTGCATTTTATCTTCCATTAATGTGCATACTACCATTCAGCACAATGAAAAGTTTCACAAGTGGGGGGAAACATTGAGATCAGGACAAGCTTAAGTTTTCCATGTTCCATGGCTCAACTGAGTCTTCATCAACAGTGCTTTGTGGTCATGTACTTGAGCACACAATAACACTGGCAACACTCTGTAATATTTGAGGTCTCTGGACTAAAAAGATGACTGGAGTGTTAATAGATGTGCACAGCTGTGTACGTATACACCTATGTGTGTGTGTGTGTGTGTGTGTATGTATGTATGTATGTATGTATGTATGCATGTATATGTTTATGTGTGTGTGCATTTTGTGTCATGTAGGTATGTTGTGTATGTATAAATATATTTCAGTAGATGAAGGATTTGTGTAGATGCCAAATGAACATGACACGTCATGTAATGTTTTCTGTGAACAGATTTGGTTCCTATTAGGTTGGCAACCTCATGGAACATGGAGCCAGACTGACAATCAGTAAGTCATTCTATTCCCCTTGTATTTGAATCAAATAACACTGGGGTATAAGAGTTTGAATATATTCACTCTTTTTGATAGACTCTGAAATTTTTTAATTAATTCTCATAACTGTACAGCAAGTAGTCATCAACCCCACTATTAGTTAAACTCATAAATTTATGTGTCTATCATTTTTCTGCAGAGCTAATTTGATCACACTTTAAAAGGAAGTGTATAAATACTTTCCTTGGTTTGGCCACTCAACCATAATGTCATTCAGAGTTATACCTACAAGACCTTCACATAGGCTTTCAAAGGGAAACACATAACACATATAGTTTATGCATATAAATGGCCTTTTCTACTGATTTTATTTTTTAAGTTTCAATTGATTATTTTATTTATTTACATTCCAAATATTTTCCACCTTCCCAGTTTCCCCTCCACAAGTCCCCTATCCTCTCCTACCACTTCCCCACCTCCATGAGGGTGCTCCCCTGACCGCCCACCCACTCTTGCCTCAGCGGTCTAGCGTTCCCATATCCTGGGTCATCAAGCCTCCACAAGACCAAGGGGCTCCCCTCCCAGTGATGCTAGATAAGGCCATCATCTGCTACATATTGAACTGGAGCCATGGATACACCATGTGTACTCTTTGATTGGTGGTTTAGTTCATGGAAGCTTTAGGG